ACCTCTAAATGAAGAAAACGAAAGAATTTACTAGAAAATTCTAGATTTAAAATCTCATCTGTAGATATCTTCAAGTGAAAACTTGTAAAATTGCATTAGAAAATCATTGATAAAAATTTATTGACATAATTGTATTATATTTACTAAACAATATTCAATATTTGTTTGAAAAAGAAAACGATTCAAAAAATGATCAATGATTTCAAATCTAAAATTATATCATCAGATAAAAAATAGATATCTCATATGACATTTCTAATCGTATTGATAATGAAAAGAAAAAGAGAAAAATCATTGATGTAAAACGAAGAGAAAAGAAAAGATTTTTATATTCATTTTCTTTGTAAAAAAAGAAAAGAAAAATGTATGACGAATGTTTAATTTATAAAATCTTTGTTCCAAATGAAATCGTTCAATATTATTTTCCAAATTATTTAATTGCTTATAAAGAAAATAATTTATTAAATTATCAACGTCGAATATATTTTTTTTCTTCATCAAATTCCACTCGAATTCCATTTGATGATTATATTGACCAAAATTCCAATTGGATTTCATTAAAATCATTTCTTCAGATTTTACTTCGAGAACCAAATTCACAAATTCGTTATAGTTTTGTTCTTTTGGATAATTATTTAATATTTATTCGAGTTCCATATCTTCTTCCGAAATCCTTTCATCCATTATGTAAACACATCACAATTTCAAGTCGATCACAATATGTTCGATTTGCAGGAGAAATTTGGTGCGATGAATTCAAACAAATTTATGTGAATAATAATTCAGGAACATATCGACCTTCAGATGTTTTAATTCAATCAATTATTGAATTCTTTTCTTATTTGTTACCAAAAAAACAATTTTATGGAATTTCTTATCGAATTAATGCTTTACCACCAATGAGAGAAAGAATTCTTTGATTCCGTTGCTTTTTCAATTTAACATAAAAACAAAAACAAATCGGAATTTGATCAATCGATTGATCTTCTCTTCAATTTCTTTTCGAAATTCATTCAAATAAAATCGACAATTTATTGAAAATCTTCAAATTTTATTAATTAATAAAGAAAAAAAAATCTCAATGAAAATAATTTATTTCAAAGGTTTTATTTTGTTTTCTCTTTAGATTTTGCTTTTTCAATCTTTTATAAGAAATGAGTCCAGAGAAAATTTCTTTTTATTCGTTCACAGATCGATCTAAACAAATATTTGCAATAAAAATTTTATTCCTCGATTATCTTTTCAATTAATTAAATTTAAATGATTTGAATATTTAATATTTTATAGAAATATCAAATAAAATTGTTGCATTAAGATGAATTTGGAAAGAATTTTCTATTGGAATCACGAAGAATTGAATTCATATTGACAAAATATGATATTTGAATGATTGAATAAGTGATGATTTACCAAAAAATAAATAATTACGAAAACAATTCTCATAACAAAACTAACAACGATATGAAAGGAATCGATCATACTCTAAAAAACATTTGTCTCATTTTCGACAAATGTAGAACGAATATAAT